ACCCTGTGAGGTAGGTTGGGCTGAGAGAGAGAGAGAGAGAGTGACTGGTCTGAGGTTTAGCAGTGGGGATCTGAACCCAGGGTTCTCTAGTCTGCTACTCTTAAGTGCTGCTGTTCTGTGTAGCTGCTGTGGCAAATAGCCACAGATCCAACTGTCTGGGTCATGGTTTCTGCCCTTGTGCTTTCGCTAAAGCAGGTTTAGTATACTTGAAAAGTAATACCTGTCTCCTTGGGATGTGGTATCACTTTTATGGTATCCATGTTGACAGACATCTGTCAACTGATGCCTGGTTGGCATTGGAATTTGCATGATGCATCAGTCTTTACATTTTGGCAAATATGTTCAAACTGTCCTTTTATTTTATACCGCTAAGTCAGGTGAATTCGGAGAAGGCACTAATTCCCAGTCATCAAATTGGGACAAGAAAATAGGCATAAACAAAATATTAAGCCAGACAGCTACAGCCCTTGTTGCTGGCTGCATTGGGCAGGAAGCAAGTTTATGTAGGCTGAGAGAGAGTCATTGGCTCAAGATCAGCCAGAGAACTTCATGGTTAAGTGGGGGATTTGAGACTGGGTCTCCCTAGACATGCCTGGCACTTTTAATCACTGTACCCCACTGGTTTCTCTTCCTCTTGTGTGTGGATGTCGTAGAGCCTGACTGCTCCCACCTTATTTTGTTTCACCCTTTCTTTCATTTCTTGGGAAAAGTCCTGCACTGTGCTTTGAAGTCCCACTGGTCACCAGCATTTCAGAAGCCTGGTGCTTGACCCTGCCCAACCAAGTTGATCTTTTGGCCCTGCCCACTTGCCTTTTTACTGACCCACACATAACAGTGTGGTTGGCAGGTGGCTTGACCAAAATAGCCTGCTGGGCCTTATTTGGACCATGGACTGGAGGTTCCTCACCCCTGTTCTGCATTATGTACTACAGTGTGTTGTGTGTATCTAACCAGGATAGGGTGGGAAGGAGAGTTTAACCCTCCTGCATTGAGTGGTCCCAACAATAAAATCTGGCCCACTTCCTATTTAAATTGAGAGGAAGGTTCCCAGTTGTGCCTGTTGAAGCTTCCCTCCTGGTATAAGTAGCAGCTTGGGGGAGGTTTTAATTTGGAGTTTGGTAGGAGAAGGGTTAAAACTTCTAATCCTAATCCCCTCCTCAGTTGAAATGGACACCACTAGACACTCTTTCTTCTAAGGCTCCTAATCCTACTTAGTGCTGGTAGCAGATCTCCTTTCCAGTTTGTTGGGAGAATGAAGAGATATGCCTGCCCTTCCTGCTTTCACCATGAGAATCCAGCTATCTCCATCCCTGTAGCTAGTTAAGGAAAAGCAAAGTAATACAGCTGCCTGCTACATATTTAAGTGCACATCTTGTTCACCCCTCATTCAGTCTTCTTCTGGCCATTACGGCAGCTGAATCATGGAGAACATTCTTTGAGTTTTAACCTCACAGACCTCACAGAGCTTCATGTGTTGTTTTGTCAGCATTCAGTAGTCCAGATTGGAGGGGGAAGAATTATGTGGAAACATTATTTTCGTTGCTTGCCCACTGTTTACCTCTTCCCTTGAAAACAGTGTATATGTTTTTCAACTCCAAAGACCACCATATCAACAACGCACCACAGAAGTGTACCTGTTTTCCAAATGTGGAGGCTTGGAAGGGATGAGCAGCCTTCTGAAAGCCACCCTTTAGTCAAACATATGCTGTGTTTGCACAGAGGAACTGTTCCATGTTGAAATAATGACATCAGATGTTCCCTTTGCAGTCACCACTTCAGAAGAGGCTATTCCGTGTGCCTCATCACCACTTGGAGAGTATAACCGAACAAAGCTGGGGGTCCAGATCACGTTAACGTTGCTATGTCAGGAGGGAAACTGATTAGCCCCTGTATGCTCAGACAGCAATGGCAGAGACTGCAACCTTGACCTGGGAGAATGGGTGGGTGGGTTAACCTGTATAGTGCCCACACTCATATTGCCAGCATTGGGAATCCCAGCACTGCAAGCCATGGGTAAAGTTAGCCCTTCCTGTCTGAATGAATAGTGATTTGCACAGTGGTTGTGGTATTTTAAATCATTGTGACCCACTGTGGTACCTTGGGGAGAAGGGCTCAGTAAAAAAATAAATCAGAATATAATTATTAATTAATTAATAAGAAAAATAATAGCTATCCATTGAGTGTGTGATTAAGTTATGAACTGCGGACTTCCTGGCTCATAGTCTACATTCATAGACATATAATTTACACGAGGATGCTTCCAGTTTCTGTATGCTTGTGGTCAGGCTGATATGTGAAGTGAATTCAGAGTTACATGGTCATTAAATGGTGGACAAAAGCCCATTGCCAACTGAAAGGCAGAATGGGTAGGTTTGGGACACATTAGAGCAGGGATGAGGAACCAGCTAGATATTGTTAGACTACAATTCTCATTATCCCTGTCAATTGGCCATGCTGGCTGGGACTGATAGGAGTTGGAGTCCAACACTGTATGAAAGGGGCGCAGGATACCCATCCCAGTACTAGAGCACCGTAATGCTGGTTTACCTGTCCTCCATTGTCAACTGTGGGGTTGAAGTCAGTGTTCAATCCAAAGTTTGAGTTTGAAATTCTCATGCATTGACTTGAGAGATTCTGTATCTTGGTGACTTGGGGGGCGGGGCAGGCGGATCACACTAGATGCTCTCTGTGGTTTGTTTCTGTGTTCCAATTAACCAATATTCAGATTTACCAACCAATGTACACACAATACATAGTCTGGCTTTAAACCTTCCACTTTGTTTTTATTTGGTGGTGCTTCCACACCAAAATTTAGCATGTAAATAAAAGAAAATGGATTGGGCTTCTAAGAGATGAATTATTACTCAGGGTAAATGGTCTTTTACAATTTGATTCGCGCCCTGACTCTTGGCTCCTGCTTTGCACTAATTAATACCTCACATTTAAATCTGACACTTTCCTGAAGTGTTGTGAATATGGATGAGCCCTGTACCACGGTCAGAGTCAGCTTGCTTTTTAAGTGGCTAGCTTTGAAATGATTCTTAATGACATGTCTTGAAGAACTAACCCCCCCTTTCTTTTTCCATTTGTTTGCCTCTATATAGCACCGAAGACATGTAGCCCCACAAAGTTTGCATGTAAAGATCAGATCACTTGCATATCCATGGGCTGGAGATGTGATGGAGAGAAGGATTGTCCAGATGGTTCTGATGAATCGCCAGATATATGTATGTATATTTCCTTAATTTTTCTCTTGTAATTATTTATATCTTGTATTGGTGATAAAAGACCACTTTCCCCATTTCATTTTCTCCCTGCATGCCATGACTCATCACATCCTTCTTACAGCCTTGAAAATGTTAACGCTGGCCTCTAAAGATGGAGGCAACGATATCATCCAGTTTTGGAATAGATAGACCCTTTAGTATTCCTGCTACCATGTAGCCTCTGTGTGAGTGCAACTTGCAACGTCTTGGGCATTTCTGAATATGTTAACAAAGGTTAGCTCACACTCACATTTGACTTTTCCACTCCCCCTAAACTTGGGCAACTTGGGTCCCACCTCAGAGAGGATTTCTGGGACCTATGTGACACATCCACCCTCATAACCCTGTGTGTGGAAAGTCAGTATGTCAGGTAGAAAGGTTCTAGCTTACCATTCTCATGAGCATGCTAGCTTTTCAAGTGCAAGAGGTTTTGACATAAGAGAGCACTGAAGCATGCAATCCTTCATTTCCCTTCTGAAGTGGCATACTCCCATTTGATGTTTCCCCCCTGAAAGTTTGGTGTTCTTCCTTTTTGTGTTGAGACATGAGTGTGAGAGCAAAGGCCTTTCTGGCAGTTTAGCATACCATGTTCCAGGTTATAAGTTTATACTGCAATAAATGCAGTTGCTGCACACTGGTTATTCAGCTAGTATTTCTGTGCAGCAGTAATTAATTTTCGGTTTATCGAAAATTGAATGGCAGAATTCTTGCCACTATTTCTGCTTAGCCTGTGATACTATCTCTGATCTGTCTCCCACCTGGCTGTCTGCTGAAGGAAGCTGCCTTATAACAGATCACATTATTTGTCCCTCCAAAAGTATTTTTGTCTACACTGGCAAATGGTACAGTAAGGTCTCAGGCAGAGAGTCTTTGTCTTCTTAACTGGAGCTGCCAGGGATTGAACCTGGGACTCAAAGCATGCATGCACTTTGCCACTGATCTGTTGCCCCTCCCCAGTAACAGCCATTATCCTGAGAAGTGTCACTAGTGTTACAAAAACACTTTGGGCTTCCACTAAAATTCCTTCAATGTTTTGCTCGAGGAAGAACCCTAACACTTCCATTGAATTTTAGGTGAAATTTCTGTGGCACCAAGAACAGGTTGATGGGCCCCAGAGCCAGGCCCTTTTCAGTGGTGCCCCCCCATCAGAATTCCCTTCCTAGGGAACTCTGCCAAATGCCCTCTTTAGTTTTCTTTGGACAGAGCTTGAATAGGGTTTGTCTTGCTTTATTAGAGCCTTTTCTGACTACGGTAATTTTATGTTGGTGAGTGTGTTGGAACTGGCATGTTTTAAAATACTTTGTGCATTGTGACTTCTTGTGGTTTTTATGCTTATTTTTGTAAGCAATCCTGTGAGCTCTTTGTCCTAAAAGGTAGGATGCTAATATCTAAAACAATCAAACAAATAAAATAATTATGTGTGCATTGCAACATAGCTAGAGGTATTGCTTTTGATACAAGTTTCTTTCCTTCTTTTTCATTTCATTTCATTTCTATACCACTTTATATTTTTAAGAAAAATCTCAAAGCGATTTACAGAATATTAAAACATCAATAAAACATCAATAAAACAAAGCAACATAATTAACAGAAAACTAAAATATTGTCTTAAAGATTTCAGAATAAAACATTACAAAGGAGGTCAACTGCAGAATAGATATTTAACACAAACAAAGTTAACAAAATACTTAAACATTTCAAATAAATACATTGCTAAGTGAATGTTGGGGAAGGGCGGTAGCTCAGTGGTCGAACACCTGCTTTTCATGCAGAAGGCCCCAGGTTCAATTCCTGGTGTCTCCAGGTGGAGCTGAGGGAGATTCCTGCCTTAAACCCTGGAGAGCCACTGCTAGTCAGCGTAGACATTACTGACCCATATGGACCCTGTGGTCTGACTTGGAAAAGGCAACTTCCGTAAGTGGACTAGATGTTGGTTTGAGCATTCAGGAAAGGGACCGGTTAGGTAAGCCAAACTTGGCACACGCTCATATCTTCATGGCCTTTTTTGTGCATTGCAAAAAACCATGGATGAGTTTTCTAACTGACAAAATATATATGAATGCAACATTGGTGGTGAGCCCTCCGTTTGTTTGGACAAGACATGAATGTATAGTTCACACAAACAACTTTAGTTTTTAAACCCGATATGAATAAATGATCACTGCCGAAACCTGCTCTGTTTATGCAAAACTAACCCTAAACCACTCTTACTAGAAAAACCATTTGCCATGCAAGCCTTCCCATATCTGCGGAAGGTACAGCAGGAAATTCTGAGAGTTATTTGGGCAGCAGCAATGCACACCAGCAGGACCAATGTAGAAATTGGACTGTTTTTCTTCTAAGCAAGCATTTTGTTCCCTTTTAAAAATTAAAACGGAGGGGTGTTGCACAGTATTTAACCAAAATCACATTTGGTTAATGTTATCATTAATCAGATATGACAGAAAAGGTTTGTTACAAAGCTGAATAGATTGCATCAGATAATGTACTTTCTGTTGCTAATGAATTAAAGTGAAGGCAAAGCTGACTGTTGAAATGGATGGCAGTTGTGATTAGTCACCAATTCCACACCTACACTTACCCAGTTTTCAGAAAGCCTAGATAGTTAGCAGCAGTCATTTTGCTTTTAGATTTCTCTACTGTCTGTCATCTTTTATCCCAGTATTATTTATCTGGAAAATGACAGAAATGTTTTTTTGTGCTGAGCTCCTTGTAAAAAACAAAACAAAACAAAACACCCACCCACCCTAAGTTGCAGCCCCCCACGCATTTACTCCTGAAGGGTACTAGTGCATTCAGCAGGGTAGCCCCAAGGTCAGAAAGAAGGCTATAAATTTTTGGCATGGTTACTTGACACTGAGAAATATGAAGTGTAATAGAAACAGTAAAAGAAGAAGAAGATTCAAGTTGATGCTAGAGCACTGAAATTCAGGATCTGTCTGCTATTGTAGTGGCTGGGAAGGAGTTTTTCCCAGGCCAGATTGACTAGTGAGTCTGCAGTGGGGGGGAGCCTTCCCTTCAAGTGGGTGACTTCATTTGTTGTGTGGGGATGTGCACAAATTAATAGCTTTTAAGAGACTTGAAGGCAATATGGTAGACATGTCATGGCATAAACATTCCATTTTGTATGTCTCAGCACTGTCTCTAGATATTTTTTAATGGGGTGCTGGAAAAGCTGGATGAAACTCAAAGAAGGAGGGCTAGACTGTTGGAATGGTTTCACACACAGTTTGCTTCTACTGTTAAGGGTAGTCACATGAGTTTTCTGGAAAATTCTGAATTGGAAATTTTTTCTGTGCAAATTGGTAATCTGCATAGGGCAAGACGCCTCAGAAAGTTTTCAGTTTGCATTGAAGAATGATCTGATTTAGCATATTTACTGTACATACATTTAGTAAACAACCCTAAAAACATGAAGTATTTTTCTTGCAATCAGAAGACTTTCATTGTTACTAATGAACTTATAAGAGGGAAATTTGCTCACATGCCTTTTTTAAAAAAAGAAAAAGATGAGGGAGTGCAAGCAGGAGTGAAATTAACTCAGAACCAATCTTGTCAGGTTTCTCCGCACTTGGACATTAACTATTGAAAGCAATTTGAATTAGGACACTTGAGTTAAAACAGATTTTTCCATGTGGGAACCTCCCCAACTCCTTTATGTTGTACATTTTTCAAGGTACCAAAGCCAATTGGGAGTAATGTGAACGCAGAATGTGTTTCCATTACTGCAGCATCTTCTTTTTGCTTCTGGTATGTTGTGTAAGCTAATTTGCAAAGGTAGCTTTTGGGGTTATCCAACTTTGTGGCAGGGAAAGTAGGGGTTGCGTTGATTCTTTCTGTGTATCTGGACCAACTATGTGTTAACAAATTGCTTTGAATTTGTTAAAGTCCTATACTGTATTCAAATGGCATGTTCTGAAGCAGGAATTGGCCACCTTTCGGATTCTGAGAGAGTGCTGTGGGTGCCAGTCACAAAATGACTGCCCTGGAGGGGCACGGCACAACACAAAGTTAGAGAGTACAGTCGCTGCTGCCCCCGTCCCCAACAAGACAATCTCAAGCTTACCATGAGAAGTCAACTCTGTCTTGCTCGACCTGATTGCAGAGATGCAACTTTTAAAGGTACAAGAATCCTGTTTCCTCCAGTGTCAACCCTAAGCCAAATATCAGAGTTAAGGATTTGAGCTCCGCATTGGGCAAAAGATTCCTGCATTGCAGGGAGTTGGATGACCCCTGTGGTCCCTTCCAACTCTACAGTTCTGTGATTCTATGATCTTGTACCCACTTAACTGGGGCAAGCCTCACTAAACACAATAGACTTGCTTCTGTGTAGACATGTATACCATTGTACTGCAAGTTAATTATACAGTGAATTCTTAATGTTTCCTGGGTTTCTATATTAATTGTGTAGTGGAATTCACAGAAAATAATTTCTACGGAGTACCAGATCACAGCTGAACCCACCACAAGAAAGATCACAGCTTTGACTTCACTCATTGGCTAAATACACTGACAGCAGTTGGCAGACTGGTTCGTTTAACAGAAATCACTTAGAAGGATCCCTCTACATTTTGTTTCCTAACTTTCTAAGCGGGCTAGATACTTTTAAAAATTAAAATGGAAGCTCAGAGCCTGGGCCCCCTGCCAAGGGGCACCATTGAAGGTCTCCATGGGTGCCATGTCGCCTGTGGGTGCTATGTTGGCCATTCCTGCTCTGAAGGATTCATTGCTCATGTAGACCTTGGTAGGGTTGCCATATCTTGAAAAGCAAAAAGGAGGACAACCTGAGCCACCTGCGCCTGAGTCAAAAGAAAAAAACAAGCTAACAAATCCTCCCAAACCCTGAAAATTTCCTTTAAAATGTAAAAATCTTCCCGGATGGGCATGTTGGCTCCCCAAAAGAGGATGTATCTGGGATTTCCCAGACATATGGCAACCCTAACCTTGGGCTTCCTAGTGCCTACCAGCTGAACAGAGTAAGCTGGGGGGTACTGAGAACTCAATTTGCCAAATTTCCCAGAAGTAATCTGAGCATGTTTGAAAGAAACTGGCAGTGTTTAGGTCTTAGAAATGAGGGCTGTGCTACGACTGCAAGGGTTGTACATCAGCTGTCCTGCCTCAGTCCCTTTTTGGGAAATGAGAGGGGACAAGTGTCACAAGGATAGTCTGGCAGTAGGAGGAGCTAATCCTACCTGAGGCAATTTACATGCTGGGCCTGAAATTTGGGGAAATTCAGGCCCAGTTCCCATTTCTCAGAATATGCGGATCTGTTAGTGAACTCCCTTTTTCACAGAGTGCCTGTCTGTGAATGTTGAAGCATCATTTGTCAAATATCCAACTTCTTCCTGAATCATTAAATAAGTTTGTAGGCTATGGCAGAAAGTATTTGTGACCTAGATACAAATCCTACCTTGGTCATGCAAGTAGCTTTAACCTTGAAAACATGTATGATTTTCTTCTTGTTTGTACAATAGAGCAAACTTTTTTCTTTTTCTTTTTTGCAGGTTTAGTTAAGTAAGAATGTATTCAGCCTTTGTAATTCCAGGAACATTAAAATGAATTAAAACCATATTCCCTCTCCACATTCATTCAATTTTTTATTATTCCTACATAACCACCTCCTCGTTCTTCTTCTGTTTGGTGGTTGTGAATTCACTGGAAATTAATACTTTTTGGAGAGGCTGGCTGCAGTATCTGATCTTATAAATATTGGGCTGTACCCATCTAGGTTCTACTTAGGGTACACCCATTGAAATTAACAGATGCCAGTTGTATATTAATTTCAGTGGATTTCCTTTGAGCATGACTAACTTTGAAGACAACCCATTCTCACTATTGGGTTGAGATGCTTATAATTGTATCATTAGGAGATTTCAAAGCATGAGTTGAAACGGGGCCAAAAGATGGCAAGTAGTGACATTCATGCATAATATTACAATTCCTGGTTTTGCATTTCATCAATAATAAATAAAACTATATTAAGAGATGTTTGCCTGGTCACTGTTAATAATGTCACTATTTTGTTAGACATTCTCCCACCATGTTTGTTGTCAGCCTTTCCTGACCAAACTAAGCCCCCTAAAGCAAAATATACACCAGGAGGCTTAGTTTGGTCAGAATCGAGTCTATACTTCCAGAGTTAATGCTAAATACATTACTTCTAATAAATGAGCCACCATAGCCTATAGAGATTTTTGTGGAAATTTGTGTCCTGGACTTTTTAGACTCATCTACCCTTGTATTATCTGAAACCAAAGGGCACATTGGTTTGCCAGATGTGAAAAATATTGGCATTATTTTCAGCTCTCCTCCCCCACTATATGTCCAAACCAGGCACCATGGTTTGTTTCACTCTCAACAAACCATGATCTGTAGCCAAGGTGTATTCTTGGCTTACTGATTTGTAGTTTGTTGGAGTGAAACAAATTATTATCCCTAGTTCTGATGTTTCTGTTTTAACTATCTGTGCTTTTATCTCCTGTTTTATTTTGTGAACCACCCTGATATCTTTTGATGAAAGACAGTATGCAAATGTCATAAATAAAATACATAAATAAATAGAATGATGGACTGCTGAGTTGGGGATGGGGGTTGGTTTGTTCTGAACGTTAGTTGGAGGAGAATGATATCTCAGCTAGGTGTGTTCACAATAAAGCGTTAAGTATGGTTTACCATCATGTGGGAAGTGAGCCAGTATCTCAAAAAGCCACCTATGCTGATAGTTTCGGATTTAAGCCAATTAATTTATTATACTGAGATCTATGGGTATACAGTGGTGTACAAATGTAATAAATAAATGAATA